TATTAGTTTTCCCGCCAAGTCAATGAATGGGAAAATCAGGGTCGGTAACTAGGGCCTACTGATAGACTCCTTGCCGGCTGAGCACATGTGGAGCCATCTGTAGGTAACAAAATTCACTAAAAACTACAGGGGACAGAACATAAATCCGTGGCGAATGGGTTAAAAGCCTGTTCTTATTAGGTAATATATAATTCTTCATTACTTGGGATTCCAGTTCACTTTGATTGCTCAGACATTTTTCAACAGATTAACCCATTCGCGCCAGGTAAAAATGAACAAAAAATGGGAAAATGCTGTGCTCATTTTTTTATATTTTTTTGTTAAATATCTACCTGATTTCACCTTTACTTGAATTGTCAGGAAAATGTATTTTTACTTGTGCTATGAATACTGATGGTTATTTTTGTTATAAATATTATAATTACTATAATGTTATAAACATTAGTAACAGCAAAATAAGATAACATAGAATATTTTCATAAATTAAAGAAAAGGATGAATGGGCGAGACAGGCAGTACATGGACAAGTGTAGCCATCTATATGTAAAAACAATTAAACAAGTAAACTCACAGTGGGCATGTCATGTATACGTGACACCCGGCAGACAGGCAGTACTCGTAATTGGCTCATTGGATACTTAGTACAAGTGTAGCCATCTATGTGTAAAAACAATCTAACAAGTCAACTCACAGTGGGCATGGCATGTACGTACATGCCATCCCAGGCGGCAGTGGGTTAAGAGAATAAAGTTATCATTTTTTTTTTTTTTTTTTTTTTTTTTTTTTTTTTTTTTTTTTTTTTTTTTTAAGATCACCATCTTTTGTTCAAAGGCATTAGTATCTGTTAAAAAAAAAGAAAATTGAAGGGGGGAGGGGTTATGAATTGATATCCAAAGGAAATGTCATAATTTCATGCATATGCAACAAGAAGAGTGATCTAAGCTGGAAAATTTCAAGTCACCATGTTGCTTACACCTCTGCTACACCATGAAATAGTCTGAGATGAAATAAAACAACCACAGGGTAGTTTCCTAATACGTGTAACTGTGTGATGGACCACAAACTCACTTTGACCTCCCTAATTCCCTTTGCCTGGGATGGATCCCTGTGGCAAGAATACATGCCATACCCACTGTAATACGCATTTATTTATTGTATTTACACATAGATGGCTCTACAAGTTCTTAATCACCAAATAGCCAGTTATCAGAACTACCTGTCTCACCTGTTTACCCTTTTCCTTCAGTTTGGGAAAGGGTCTTTTGTATCATTTCATTGTCAAAAAAATTTTAATGACAATTTAATAATCATAACATCAATAGCAACGGTATTAACCCATTCCCCCCGGCCATGCCATGCCATGGCCACTGTGAGATTACTTGTTGGATTGTTTTCACACATAGATGGCTACACTTGTACTAAATCACCAATGAGCCACTTACGAGTACCGCCTGTCTTGCCCGTTCACCTTTTACGTTATCTTATTTTGCTGTTACTAATGTTAAAAAACATTATAAAAATTACAATGTTTATGATAAAAATAACACCATCGATATTCATGGCACTAGTGAAAAATACGTTTTTCCCGCCATTTCAAATCAGGCGGTAACAGAGCCATCTATCGGCAGACATTTAACAAAAAAGTATAGAAAATAGGATCAGCATTTTCCCCATTTTTTGTTCATTTTCCCCGGCGGCAATGGGTTAATAAGAAAGAGACATTTTCCCGCCAATTCGAGGAATGGGAACTTTAGGATCGGTAACTAGTGCCTACTGATAGACTCCTTGCCGGCTGAGCACATGTGGAGCCATCTGTATGTAACAAAATTCACCAAAAACTACAGGGGACAGAACATAAATCCGGGGCGAATGGGTTAAAAAATAATATAGTTCTGATAAACTGGCTATTTGGTGATTAAGAACTTGTAGAGCCATCTATGTGTAAATACAATAAATTAACATGTATTACAGTGGGCATGGCATGTATTCTTGCCACATGGGGTGAATGGGTTAAAGAAGAATATTCATGGTTACCACTGTAGAAGAATGAAATGCTAAACTTTAAGGGTGGGAGGGGGGAGGTGTATTCACCCACAAAAGAAGAGAAAAAAAGAGCAAGTGTAATAATAATGATAGTAATAATGATAATCATAATAATAATAACAATGATAATGATGATAATCATAATAATGATATTAACCCATTACCGCCGGGGAAAATGAACAAAAAATGGGGGAAATGCAGTACTCATTTTTTATATTTTTGTGAAATATCTCTGTCCATAGATGGCTCTGCTAGTCCTGATTTCACCTTTCCTTGAATTGGCGGGAAAAAATATATTTTTACTAGTGCTGTAAATATAGATGGTGTTATTTTTAACAGCAAATTAGGATAACGTTAAATATCTTCGTAAATCAATGAAAAGGGTGAATGGGCGAGACAGGCAGTACTGTAATTGGCTCATTGGATACTTAGTACAAGTGTAGCCATCTATGTGTAT